TATATATGTATATGTATATGTATGTTTCCAAAATAATCCTCCGTGACATTAATACACTCACACATCTTCGATACAAAGCCTAAAAACTTTTTTTAAAATCTAAAATTGGAATATTGTTCAGAGCAGTGTTATCATATGTCTTTGAATGTCATTCACTTGAAAGTATTTACCTTCTATGTATCATGCTTTTTTAAATTCAGGAATAGCATAAAATCCGAAAATCAGATCCAGCGAATACGTGATTAATCTCAACCTTTTTTTTTGGCCAAAAACTGCTTCACGATGATTCCCTTGTGTGCAAGAACGTTGTCATGCAATTTTCTTGATAGTGAAAAAAATTGAAATTAGTCGCTCGTCTTACTCGCTGAATCTTTTTCGGATTCCATGCTGTTCCGAAAGTTCAAAAACATCATGAAAGGTAAACATTTTTAATATGTCAAGAACATTCAGAAGAATATGACAAATGCTCTGAACATCATCCCAACTACGGATTTAAAAAAAAGTTTTGAGGCTTTAATCCAAAAATGCCAAATGTATTAATGTCATAAAGAACTATTTTCAAAGATAAAATATAATATTTTTTATTGTGTGTGTGTGCGTGCGTGCGTGCGTGCGTGCGTGCGTGCGTGCGTGCGTGCGTGTGTGTGTTATCTGTTTTTTATTGCTGTGATCCGGGAACTTTATTATCAGACCATACATATCTCATATATTACCTTCATCTGGGCTGACTCATTTTTAAGCTGCTCTAATTTGCAAACCGTAAGTGCTCTTTTCTGCGCTATTAATGGATCCACATTTCCAACACCAATTTCTTCTTTTGCAAAAGATACTGCAAATTCAGCATCGCTGTTTTGTCCAGAAGCAGAATCTGTAGATGATAAAGAATTCTCAGACACATAAAAGTCCATAATTGAAACATAAGATATCTTAAAGATATCTTTAAATATTGTTTTGAAAATTTAGACTGTGTGGGGAATATAGATAATATTATTATACCGTGTATAAAAATATAGCAGTTATTTAGAATAGGACCTTTTCCGAATTTCGACATTTTTCGGTTGCAATGTTGATAATAATCTTTGTTATGACTCAATTAGTGACAATAAGTTGGGGGAGGTCGAAAAAATATAATCTACCTATTCTTTAAATTATTTATTCTATCTTATCTCCCCATATAGGGGCGCACGACTTTCATGTGAAGTCGCTTCGCGTGGAAGTCATGCGCCCCTAAACAGGGGGAGAGGTTCTAAATAATTACCAAAAAGATTTATTTATGCAAGATTAAAATCTATACGTTTGATGTTATAAATAAAAATACCTGAATCAAGCACAATAGTGACAGGTACATCAATTTCTTTGTTTTCGTCTGCTACTTTATGGTCAGTATTATTTCGTTTGTATGATTCATCAAGGTCACTTAAATTCATATTATTTAGAGAATCATTAGAAGAATTAAGTTTTAATTCTTTTATATCTTCTCTGGTATTATCATGAGTAACATCTTTTCTTTTTTTACTCTTATTTTTAATCCGTGAACATGAAAGAGAAGAATCTATGTAAAATAATAGAAAACAAAAGAATCTATACAAGATATCTCGTAAAAACCATAACAACGCTTAAGGGGAGACTTCTTTGATCACTTTGAGGCAAAAATTTTAATACCAAAATGTTGAAGCTATAATAATTTTTTAATATATCAATAATTTTACCTTCGTATATATATAATCTTTATATCAACATTAACACGAGGCGACAATTGGCTTTCGTTTTTAGCACTTTGAGTTCTATCACGCCTGAACGCGCAAATTTTAGGCGATATAATTAGCTAACTTTTAATGTTTATGATTAAAATACTGTTATAGCCTCACGACACTTTAATATTAAAATTTTAATCTTAAAATAATCTCAGGATCCTTAAGTGTTGTGATGATCTTTATGCGGGATACTCTCTCTCTGTATAAAGTATCTATATAAAATTATATATATACATATACAGAGGGTGACCCATTTTAATCTATCACCCCAAATATTTCCGTTCCCTTGCATTTTACAAGAAAATGTTTCAGATAAAAGTTGTATGGTTTCAAGGGGGCCATAAAATGATACCATTGGTTTGACCTTGGATAATCGCTTGAAGGTCACATGAAGGCCACCTTCAATTTTTTAAATTAAACCCACTTTTTTTCATTACATATTCTTGTAGCTTACCTCGAGAGCTTTCCAAAACACTATAATAAAATATTTTTTCATTAAGTATTTTTCGAGTTATAAGGCTCGAAAGTTATAGTACAGCATTAGCATTACGCAAGTTATCCGACCGATGGACTGGTGATTGTACCCCTTATTTTTATTTTTACGTAAAAATGAATTTTGCAAAAATGAAAATAAGAGGTACAGCCTGCAATGGTCTTGATCTTTACAAATGTTATCCAGGACCTGAACAATATTCAAGAGGTTTTAGCCGTCGGTCGGACAACTTGCGTAATGCTAATGCCGGCTGTACTGTAACTTTCGAGCCTTATAACTCGAAAAATACTTAATGAAAAAATATTTTATTATAGTGTTTTGGAAAGCTCTCGAGATAAGCTACAAGAATATGTAATAAAAAATAGTGGGTTCAATTTAAGAAATTGAAGATGACCTTCATGTGACCTTCAAGCGACTATCCAAGGTTAAACCAATGGTATCATTTTATGGCCCCCTTGAAACCATACAACTTTTGTCTGAAACATTTTCTTGTAAAATGCAAGGGAACAGAAATATTTGGAGTGATAGATTAAAATGGGTCACCCTGTATATAATGAAGCAAGTTTTATTTTATCAGACATGATACATACAAAATCATAAGGCCTGTTCTTTTTAGCTGAACTTTCGCACCAGTTCATCTTTCTTTCTTTTCTCTCTAGAAGAAAAGAAGAAGAAGAAAGATGAACTGTTGCAAAAATTCAGCCAAAAGGAACAAGCCTATATATATTACATACAAAATCACAGTGTTACGTATGATACCAATTTTTATTTGCTAATCTTTACCTGAATCAGAATTCAAGTCACTATAATATTTTTCATCATAATCTTCATGAAGACTTTTTGCTGAATCAGAATTGTTAAAATCATTAATCGTATATGCTTCATTATCTTCATGATCATCTATCTGTTCATAATCACTGTCATCAGAATTCAGTATATATCTTCTCGTCTTTTTATTTATGTTTCTGATCAAACGTACAACAGGTGTACTGTCATCTTCACTGTCTTTATTCCTACATATAAATATCCTATATATAAATATTTATAAGAAAATGTTTATATATCCATTAATTTATATTTTAATAATTTATTTCAGTTATAATAAATATGATGTACAGAATGTAACTAAAAGACAAATTTTGAGGACGAGCTTCTCACCAAATATAAAAAAATATATATATAAACATAGCAAATCCACTGTTATTGAGATTATTAATAAGCTCCGACACGATTTCTCGATCTCGATCTCTCGATCTTAAAACTCTTTTAATTTATTCAGATTAATATCGAAGATATGCAACTCCAACGCATCTTTGATGCCCGTGAAACTATTCGCAACTCCCCAAGGATTTTTGAAAGTGCGATAGTCCATGATTTGATAGTCAATGGCTCATGCGTGTATTGAATCAAATGAAATTTGCGAATATATGTTTATATTACTATCCAAATATATTTATGTTAATAATCATATTTATATCAATTATCGATAATGTCATCGTTCTTCCATTACTCCCGGATGCCCGGGGCCCTATTGATAGTTACAAAAATTTGCCCAGGACCGCCGTCTTTAAAAGCACCCCATCGGTGAATTCGCCCATTGTGTGTCGTCCTATAGAGGCTGCGTTCGGAAATGTCGCTCGGATTCATCATCTGTCCTCGTTTAAGGATTTGTGCGTTTTCGTCGTACGACAAATGTGTATGTACATACAGGACAAAGAGGTCCCCCTTAGATCTCTCTGTCTTGTAGCCAATCAACAGGCTTGAAAACTTTGTCGTACGACAAAAACGCACAAATGAAATATTACCGTACATTTAATGTTAAGCTGGTTCTACATTAGTCGCATCGCAACGTCGCAAGCGTTGCAGTCCAATCAACGTCAAGCTAGCTCGACTCTGATTGGACCATAACGCTTGCGACACGCTTGCGACGCTGCGATGCGATCAATGTAGAATCAGCTTAAGATTGGACATTGAAAAATTTAACCAATCAGATAATCGAGTAATCTTGATTTCTTTTGTCCCGATTGGTTGAATTCTTATTTTCAATGAATTATACGCTATAGACTTAAGGTTATGGAAACACGATCGTAATTATCAATGGCTGCG